GGCTTCAGAAGGTCCACTATGTATTTGGGGGCCTGACCATGAAGTGCTCTGAAAGTTAAAACTAAAATTTTAAAATGACTCCTCAAAGTCACAGGGAGCCAGTGCAGGGAGGCTAAACCAGGTGTAATGTGGGCTCTCCTGTGGGTCTTTGTTAATAACCTCGCTGCAGCGTTCTGCACAGAGTGAAGCCCAGTCAACGAGGATTTGTTTAGACATGTAAAAAGACTGTTGCTGTAATCTAAACGAGAAGAAATAAAAGCGTGAACAACCATCTCTAGTTCCTTCTGTGACACWAAAGATCTCAGCTTTGAAATGTTCCTTAAATGATAAAAAAAACAGTTACGAACTAAAGTTTTACAATGACTGTCAAAAGACAAAGAAGTATCAAAGACAACACACAGATTTCTGAGACTATTTTTCACTGAAGGAGTTAAAAAAGCAAGTTGCTGCCTGATTACAGGGATTTTATCATCAGGGGCAATAATAAGAGTTTCAGTCTTGTTTGCATTTAACTGCAGGTAGTTGTTGTTCAGCCATATTTTGACTTCTGACAGACAGTTAATGAATTCAGATAGTTTGAAGAACTCAGAGGGTCGAAAGGAACAGAACAACTGTATGTCATCAGCATACAGATGGTAGGACACATTACTGTAACGTTTTAAAAAACCTCCTAAAGGCTACAGGTACAATAAAAACAGGATTGGACCTAAAACTGAGCCTTGGGGTACCCCACAAGACAGTGGTGCAACATCAGAGTAAACCTGATTCATAAAAACAGTAAAAGACCGTTCAGATAAATAAGAGGTGAACCAGTTTAACACAAAGCCAGAAATACCAAAATTACCTCTCAGTCTGTTGATAAGAACAGAGTGATCCACAGTGTCAAACGCTGAAGTTAAGTCCAGTAAATCCAGTACAGTGTAGTTTCCAGAGTCAGCTGCCATCAACAAGTCACTTGAAACCTTTAATAAAGCTGTTTCTGTGGAGTGCAATTTGTGAAATCCAGACTGAAAAATGTCCATAATGTCATTTTCCTCCACAAAGCAAATCAATAGTTCAGCTACCACCTTCTCCAGGATCTTTGATAAAAATGGTAGCTTGGAGATCGCTCTGTAGCTTTCAGGCAGAGAAGAGTCTAAATGAGGCTTTTTTAACAAAGGACAGACAACAGCTGTTTTGAAGCAGTGGGGTACAGAACCAGAACCAAGGGAGTAATTTATCAGTTTTACAACACTTGGGCCAATACAGTATATACAGAAAGGAACAGTACAACTGTATGTCATCAGCATACAGATGGTAGGACACATTACTGTAACATTTTAAAAATTCCTCCTAAAGGGTACAGGTACAATAAAAAGAGGATTGGACCCAAAACAGAACCTTGGGGTACCCAACAAGACAGCGTGCACCTACAGCGGGTCAATTAGTTCTGCAAATATTACCTTTAAGTTAATTTTATTGTTTTGTGATATTAATAATGCTAATATGTTGATATTTTTCTAATTTTGATCTAATTTTGCTTCTGTTTAGCGTCGTCATGGTTGCTAGGTGACATGACGTACGCCGGGGTGGAGGGGAGGCTAGACCGTCCAAATTCACAGACTCTTTTTTTCCGGTCTTCCCGGTCTACCAAGGACCCGGCCCGCCTCGACCGGGGAGTCTGGGTCCTCCGGAGGACCCGGCCTGTCGTTTTGGACACAGTTAATGTGTGATGTGAGCTCTCAGTAGGTGTTGGAGATGATGCTCAGCTACTGTCACACCAAATCTTTACATCTGAGTTGAAAAGGTTGAAAAGGATTTCCAAATGATCGTATTGTTTTTATTTATTGTTTACACTCACGTACAGCTTCACTGGGGTTGGGTTGTACATCAAAGTGTTAGCTTAGCTTTGTGAGAGTTCCAGTAAACTTTGTCCACTGGTTCATGTGATATTTTGCTAACACAGATAAACAAACAAACAAACAAGAACATTATAGTGTTTAGCCTTTGACTCCAGGAGATAACTAAATGTGACCCATCATGTCGAAATGAGGATTAAAGGCACAGTGTGTAGGATTAGTTGTTTTCAGTGACATCTAGTGGTTGAGTAGTTGAATCATCCTCTCTGGTCCTCCCCCCACCCCCACTCTACGGTGTCTCTCAGGTGTCAAAAACCTTTGATAATTCCAACCACGATGTCAACCAGCAGCTTCAGGGCTAGTGATGTTTCAAGTGGTAAGATTATGAGCTTTAATAAGTAAAATTATCCCAGCTACAATGACAGACAACAAATAAGATGGCGGCTGCCTGTAGTGGCGACCCGCGAC